CTCCTGCTATTTGATATTGAGAATTATTGAAATATATGTCAAATTAACATTCGATTTATCATTTATTTTAGTACATGAAATCAATTTATCAAGTGGTAGTAGGCCCTTCTCTTACGCCACTTTTTCAAAAATTGACAGAAAACGGATGATCCTGATGTTCGTCGGGCTGACGACTGTCTAGTACTGTTTTGCCTCGGGTGCTCAGACAAAAAACAGTTACTATGCCGTTAAATTGTTTTCGTTTACGTACACGAACTACCTGGCGGATCCCGTTACGGTTTTCGTTTTACGACTGCCTAGAAGACTGGCTCGGAGAAATTCGATCCGCACGGTGGGCTGGAAGCGAGTCTGAGGTTCTGTAACGTTTTCGGAGCCTGGGCGAAAAATAATGTTCGGTAGCATGATATTCTTCACAACATCCGTGATAAATAGCCTGAATACAAAATCTCATACTTGGACAGATAACGAAGTCTGAATGGTACATACGAAATAAGGTCGTTCTACGCGAAATTGGACACTTTTTGGAGTAATATTTCGGACTTTATTGGCACTTGGATGTGTTCTGGTCTTTAGTGAGATATAAAAGTATCTTGAAGGACTTTTGAAAAATTTTTTAATTATTAATTTCACAGCTGTTTGAAATATAGTATCAACGTATTTTAATAAATCATAACTCAAAATCCTCCGAGATACGTTCATATATCACTAAAAATTACAACATATCCAAATGTCAACAAAATCCAAAATGTTACTCTGAAAAGTATCCGATTTCGTGTGGAATGACCCAATATGGACACACTCACTCTGACGGAGATCCTAGAACAATACAAGACATCATATTTGATCACTCAATTATACACTAGACAGATGCTCCCTTAACCACTCAAATCCATTTTAAAAACCACATACACCTAACAGAAGACTTAAACGAAACCATCCTCTAGATATAATAGATCGATAATCTCATATTGTGCTCCTCCAACTTGCACTACCTATACCACCTACCCTAACGACACAAATGAAGTTTATTGCTATTACCATCGACAACAATACCCACGTTAAAAAAGACACCGTAAGCCATGATATCAACAATTTTTATTGTAAAAGTCTAATGCACATTATACAACAACAACGACTGAAAGAATGGAACGATTCAAGGAGAAAAGTTATCGGGCAATAAAGCCAGTATCCTCTGTCCGGCAAATGGACAATATCGTTATCGTTTACGGAACTCACCGTCTGCACATCGTGACGGAACAGGTTCCGATAAGAATGACCCAGAAGGAAAAAAAAAAAAAGAGTACATAAATTGATTCCCGTGTCCTTTTAGGTGTATACGTACCCGGTTCAGCGACTTTTTCCCCCCGTGGATCTTATCGCGTGCAATACGCGCAATTACGACCGTAATGTCTCCCGGCGATATCGACGAGTTATCGGGCGCTTTCCTTCGCGGCTCGATCTATTTATCTGGATGACGTGAAATAACGGTCTCCAGAGTCGAGAGTAGACGAAACTCTCAGAGGGGAACACGCATGTGGTCCATGCACGTGCATACACGTGTTTCGTATACGCACGCACGTGTGTCCTCCTCCTCGCGAGGCCGTTGAATTTTTCGTCACTTTCAAACGCGGTTAGGGCCTGCGCGCGCACGGTTCGTCTATTCCCATACGCACCCTCGGTGGACCCTCCTCTCACCCGCAGCAGTGACAGTGAATTAGAACCGCTCACGGCGCGCTCTCTGGTTCGTCCCCGTGTTATATTTAGACCGTGGATGCACCAGAAAACGCGGTGTCTACTCGCGCCAGAGGAAAAGAAATACACAGAGAGTCACGTTGCTCGGGGAACGTTACACGCAGTGGACACCGATTCGTCCGACTGATATCCGATAATGAAAGTTATTGTTGTCGCCGCGTAGATAAGGACGAACCTTATTTTTACGCCGTGGATTGAATCGTAGACTCGCCTTTCTGTGGGACGACGTGTGTCCGTTGATTATTACATATGTAAATTGAACGACCACGTTGTATATACCTGGAGGAATACAGCACTTTTTCTTTGATATTTTTACGCGAATCGGGAACGGCGACAATCTGCTTTGTCCAGGGGACACCAGATGTCGATGGGATCGCGTGTGGATACCGATAACATTTAACGTCGATGGTTAAAATGTATGTTATATATAATGAACTTTCAAATAGTAATTCTGAACGCATTTCTCCCGAAACACATTTGAAACATTTTCTACACTGGCAGATTTTACCAGACAAATATTCACGGGAGTGTGCTGCAATTTTGTTGATTCATTAGCGATATATTTTATTCTATTAAAAACAAATATTATGTTCGGTGCTTATTCTGTTTGTGCCACAATCCATCCTCAAAAGACACATATTTTCTTCGTCTGTCACACTGTTTGTCTCCCTGAATATTAAATACAGAAATAAAACCGCAAGTCACATTGATCACGCAACGACTATCGACAGGTTAGTTTGCAAAGAACAGCGATGGTGAAAATTCTCAATAATTACGACCACCGAGAACGATAACAACCTCGAGGATTGTGTTCGGAACGAACGCTTCTTCCTTCGTCTCTCTCACCCCCCTGCCTTGCCTGCTTGCTCTGTTACAGTATACTTTATCGGAGGCAATGGTAAACAACGCAGTTGACACTTTTCTTCGTACAGCAGCGCGGTTTTGCGCCGTAAACGGGAGGCCCATTGTCCGTCTGTCAATACAAAGTACCGTATGTGCGCCAGTGCGATCAGCCTGCGCTTTCGTTGCACACACGTGAACGGGACCGACCGTTTGCTCGCGTCTAACCTGTTCTGTGCCAATTTTAGAACAATTTTATTCATCTATACAGCAGAAAAAACGATATCAAAACTGGAAGATTCACGAACAATTCCTTCGTGAATCACGTCCTATAATATTAGGTTCTTGCCTAAATTCTGTCCTTGGTTTTTCGAAAAATTAAAAGATAAAGTCACCTAAATCCCAGTTGACAAACACAGTGTAATATAAACTACGAATCTTTTTTTCCAAATTTAAATTGCTATTTAATACATCCCAGAAATGGTTAAGAGACTCTTTACGGCAACCTAATAGTTCACCATTGACAGCAAGCTTCTAAAAATATTACAATAACGCACTGTGCGCATCATCGCGACCATATTCGTCACACACAAAACACGCCTTTGCTTGTATCACCCCGTTTACGCATACAACTGTTCGGTTACACGTGCGCGCACGCGTGTACATATTATGAGTAGACGAGCGTGAGACTCCTGGACAGACGCCTCCCGCTTCATGTATGCATCTGCATTCACGTCGAATGAGGTTAACGTTAATGAGGCACAAACATCTCCAGACACCGTGGCCAGACCTTCCCCTTTATTCACCCTGTCACGAGCCCTCGCGGCTACGTCGGCCGTGCACGCGGGATTTTTTTCTTTATTTTTCTCCTTTTTTTTTTTTTTGTTCCCAACGGCCGTTGGTTCGTTCCACTCGACCAGCGACATGCGCCAGTGGTCAACGTACGCAGCATTAGGGGAGAACTGGTCGTTCCGGTGCGAAAGGTTCCGAAGGATTTGGGAAATAGTTTTTAAGTAAACATTTTGCAAATTACCATGGTAACGAGATAAAACTATAAAATGAAACGATGTTTTTATATTCTTGCTTGAATTGAAATGTATACCCGAAGAGTGAATCCAGTGGGAAAACTGAGGTAGAGGTTTTCCTATTATGCAATAGTGAAAAGAGTAAGATATCTATAAATTTACTTTAATAATCACTTGGAACTTATTTGAAGTGGAAATTTGGATAATCTGTTGCAAGTAAATCGAACGCAAGAATTAAAATACAGTCGACATCTACGAAATTCTATTCTCGAATTGTGGATTCACTGTAGTGGATAATTTTCCATTAAATCTATTAAATTCTATCCTATGAACGTTTTCACACGGAAGATAATATACATATATAAAAAGTAATAAACAGTGTGTAATAAATACGCGAAGAACGTGATATAATTGAGATCACAACAAAAGACCACTCCCTCCTCCTATTGTACCGAGAAATCGGGAGGGAAGATGCTTCGGAGATTCGAAAGGGTCCATTAAACTTCTCGGGGCGGACAAAAGGTGCCTGCCCGTGGCCGAAACAAAAGACTGTGAAAAACGTTCGATATACATATATACCGGGTAGAAGAGTCTTTTGAATCGAAGTTCGAAGGCCGTATATCATCGGTCTCGGGTCACCCAACAAACACGACACACCGCATGCCCCTGTACCGTTATGTTCGCTCTCGAAGGCTGGTCCTTATCAAACGCACGGGTATTGCACGACGACACTTACTTAACCTTTTAACCACGGAAGGTCTCTAGAAAAACTTATAAACAGAGCGTATAAAACTACGATTTTTTTATCGTTTACTTTGTACCCTTCGATTGTGTCTTTCCGAAAGCTTTATTATTACAATAGGTTAACGACACTTGTATGATGAAAACAAGCCCAAAAACGATATTCCCTGAACAGTTTTTAATGCGACTAACGAGTCCTTGGAATACATAGAAAAATGAAAATAACGAAATAACTAAGAGTATAAATACATATTTTAAGTAATATAATAGAATCAACAGAATGTGTCTTGAACAGTTTGTTTGAAAATACACGTTGAACTCGACAAAAAAATCGATGTCCGACGAGACTACACCAATGTTGTGTAATTAAAAACAATCCGAATGTCATCGTCCCTGAACAAACACTGTCATCAGAAGAATCCGAACAGTCTACTGGCTAACAGTTTCATGTAAAATACAATGAGAAATATGAAGGTTTTACATTTCTTTTCTGAGAAAAATCACTTTAACCTAACTTTTTCCCCCCGATCCAATGTAACACTGTACAAGAACCGTCCGACTCTATACAGACGTTCTTCATAATTAAGAGGTTAAGATACACTATGTAGGTATGCATATACTGTTCAGCAGTGGTTTACTTACGCCATACAGAGATTTGAGTTTCACGTGATTCAACGCGGGTACATCCACCATGGAACACTTGAGGAGGATTGTGGTGGTTTGGCTGGGCATCTTGGAACCGTTTTCTCCGTCACTTTTGTCACGTGTAACAAAACTGGTGGCACGTCACACTACCGTGGGAAACGTCCATTGGTGTCCACGACGGGACTTATGATCTATCGTATCGTCTTACGGCGGAGGTTTAAAACGCGAGAGACACCGGTAGTGGCCATAAACAGAGAAAGAGAGAACACAGAAACCCGTAGTGTATCGGCGTCACCGATCGCTGGACGGCTTGCTCGGATACACGGTTAGAAAAAACGCGGGAGAGATCGTGTGGTAAGTAACAACCGAAATATATTCATAAATGGTACGAACACAAAGGGTCAGTGTGGATCCGACTGTATGTATTTCGAATCCACGGGGGTTTTTTATTGGCAGTGTACAACTTGGCAGTGGACCGTTACTGAATCTCCCCGATCGAATCGTAAACCGCGACTCACGACGAACACACCGTTTAGAATTTTCTCTCAGGAGCTAACGACACGGACGCGATCCGTTCCTTCGGTCCATAATCGCGCGTCGATCGTCCGTTGGTTTCGTTTAAAGGTGCCCGCCACAGAGCTCCCGCACCGTACATACTCCTGCCCGGCTGGCTCGCTGACTGACTGACTGACTGGTTTTCACTCACTCACTCACAACGCGCGGGGCGAAACCGAGTGGAATTGTAGGCACATCTCTCCCCACCGCCCGGCCGTTTCCTTATCCCCACCAGCGAGCCACTGAGCCAATCGTCGACCCAAACAACGCACCACGCGTGTGCGTCGCGGGAATACACAGACTCACGGTCGAATGTACGACGTGTGTACGTGCATCGGTGCATTCGGTGCCGATGCACGCGGGGCTTGCTACTTTGTTGCTGCGGGGACACTGACCAGAGGTTTTTACGTTCGTAACGACGCGAGGATCGAGAATAAGTATTCGTAAGTACGGTTTAAAATGTAGGATAGAGGAATTGTATTCTACGTGTTTGGTTATTTTGTTATCCCCTGGGTTTCAACATTTTTAACATTAGAACTACCGAGCAAGTCAAAATGACTTGTCAATACACTCTTACAACGACGATTAAAATGTTATGTGAATATATTTTCTCAAATATTTGGTACCTTTTATTACGATATGGAAGTGAAGAAATTAGTCAATTTCTAAATTTTAAAATTTTCGAAAGTTTTTCACGTTTATCCACCGATCAAAGCAAATATGCGTTTATAGTTAGACAATGCTCATTACAGAAAATATATCTTCTTTTGTTTTCTTACTTTTATTGCACCAAACACAGTCTGATTATACGGTGCGAACAGAATATCGTATACAGCAGAGAAGAAAATTGGTGGGGACTGATTTCGTCGAAGGAGGATACCTCAGACAGTAATAGATAATACGTGACATGAATCATCTTCTAGGACCTCGAGTGATGGTAATTACGATCTTTTTATGACGACGCCTTCAGATGTAAAAAAACGTTTCGATTCTATGACACATCACATTCCCTTCTTTTTTTTTACTTTACTGATATATTTCATAAAAATCAATAATTAAATACAGTAATATTGATCATTTCATCCAATGGAAAATATAACCAAAAAAAATTGTTGTCTCCAATATTATAAATCATATGCAAGAAAGTGGATAAATTCGATTCATTTGCGGCCGTTATGTACCTGCACTCAGTGCGTGCGCCAGATGTTACGTAAGATTCAGCATAAGTAAATAATGGCACTTTCACTGTCATCTACCGTTTCTGATTACATGATATGAAGGAAGTTCCGGATCTGATCGGATCTATTTCCCCTTGGTTCGCACCGCGACGAAGAAGAAAAAAATGTTTTGAGTAGCAGTGCTTTCGTTAAACGATGCAGAACCAATCGATGACGTTACGTGAGATTGCTCGTGTACGATACTACCTCGGATTTCGCGTGGAATCGAACGTAATTTCGATTCGCGCGAACGCGTGACTCATCCGTTCATTCATAAGAAGCCGGTAATAATTTTATTTTTTTTTTTTTCAGAATGAGCTTTATCTTAAGCCCGGCTGAAGATGATTTGCGAAAGTTTACAACCGAAAACAATTTCTGTGGAATCCCAACGAGGCTTACTCATTTCGGTTAGTAACAAAGGCAAGGTATCTATCCAAATTCTACTACATACCTGCTTAGAAGCATTGAAGAATTAAAAAAGTATTCTATTATTTTATATATTCAGAGAATCGATGATTAGTAATTACTAGACTGCGGATTTTTATGCAAAATAACATTTTCTTAAGTAATTTATATTTCCCTCTTAAGTATCTTATTGGGCACATACTAAAATAGAAAACTGATTGACTAGAAATATTCAAAATAGTAATAAATCTGAAGATCCTTTATATCTCGTATTTTTCGAAAGCCTAAAAAAGTTAGGTTTGAACAACTAACTGACCCAATTTGTCTGAAACGTTCTTTAACATTAAATTTAAAGCTGTCATAAGCATCACTGTAAGTCACTGAATGAAGTAAGATGTATGCACAAAAAATTCATTGACATAAAGACAAGTGAAACGCATTAAGTAGACCGAGTGTATTGCATAATTATAATACGCACAACATCGCAAGTTCCCACTGACGCTGCAACAATCGCGCGAAGTTCCGATAAGAGGGGAAACGAAACACATCAAAGGACAACTTTTCTTTTGCTGTACATTTTTTTGTCTCTATTCTCCAGAAACGGAAGAGTCCAAAGTCATGATCAACTGCGTTTCCGCGGAATTACGCACACAGCCGCGATAACGAATGATACGCGTCGAGCGTCGCCTAGCCCATGAAACAGGAAGAACGCAGAGGAACTCTGATTGCAAGCCACGGGCCTTTCGTGTAAGTACATACATGTACATATATTCCCTCCACCTCTCATTGCGAGTTGTGACCGCACGTTACGCTCTTTTGCCGCGTTTTATCGGCTTAAGATCAATGTGTCAAAGTTATGCCACAACATTCGTATCGAAGGTGATCCGAGCTGGACGTTATCCAACGACCGCACCAAGAGAGCAAAACCGCAGACAACACGATCGCGCGCTGCCAGCCCCGCAGGGGTAGATAGTTACGCGACAGGTGACAAATTTTCCTTCGTTCCCCCACCCTTTGGGTTTTTCACGGTGGACTTGTCTCGTTTGGACACCGATTGACACGTAGTCATCGTTGTTTGTCACCCTGGAGAACGATTGTAGCGTACAATAAATGATCGATGAGTGTTCGAAGGCTCCTCGACACTTAACTTTAAATATTTTATAAACTTATGATCATATGCGACTGACATACATTTCATTCGTTTCAGAATTCCAAGGTCTACGTGCTGAACCTCATTAAAAAGTCAGCGTTACAGTTCGGGGCATCTCCTTGGCAGTAGGCTTCTTAAAAAAAATTGGCAGCTTTAAAAAAAATTTGAGGAATTGTATTGTTATAATATTTTTATCATCGTTATAGGAGATTATAATATCATATATTTGTATATGCATACCTATCCTTCATGTTGGAAAGTTTCGAAAATAAATATAATTTTAATCACCCACCAAATTTGAAAGTTCATTAAGTAAACACGCTGGAAGGTACTTATAAATGCATCCATTCGAAGTTTCAAGCGGCAGAACTACGTAGAACTCGCGCCAACTGGTCGACCGATATAGATCTCGTTAATATTTCAGATCGTCGTGTACTCTTATTAAATTAAAACGACTGTCGATGTCGTGCATCATTAAATGCTCATCAATTTACGATCATTAAAGTCCAGAAATGATATCGTTTAATAACCGTGACACCGCTTGAATTATAATGTCGCTAATGTTTGCAGAAAGTACGTTTCAAGAGACACTCGGAATTGGTTACTGCAATCAATGTGAACAGATAACGATGGTAATACATCGTTTATCATACGCGTATCATTTATTTCAATTAGAATCGTTCAATATCCGTTCGAAGATATCATCGTTGATTATGTAATTGCTCAAATATCTGGTTACTATCCGGCAGAATCTGATCAGAAATGTGTCAAACGCTTTTGTTGAATTTTTATCTAGTAAAGAGTATACTTTATTGTTTACCAAATTGGAAAGTATCAAATATCCCGATAAATAATGCACTATGTCTTTTTAACACAGTTCAAAATTTTAAAACATCTTTTAACCACTTTATTCGTTCAAAATGGCGTCGACAAATATTACTGAAACAGCACTCAGTTCTGATTTCGTCAGAAATAAGTACTGAATTTAACAAAATATAATGGATTACTTTTTGGTACACCTAATATATGAGAAACGTCAAGTAAAAAAGAGATTTTCTATCTAGAAGTATTATTTCACGTTTCCTCTCGCCCAAAGGAAAAACCAAATAGATTTATTAATCCTCAGATTGGTTCTGAATATTAAGAATTTTCTGAGTTCGATACGATCCACAGGTATAAATATATCATCGAATTCCGAATCGAAACTGGATTGACCACAGGTGGACCATGAATTTCCGGGGCAAAACACACATGATCTACACGTGAGTCATAGGATACTGAACCTGTTACAATGGTTACGGATCAATGCTCTCTCGTTTCCAATGAAAGTAAAAATAAACTTTCTTAAATGTCCATAAATTATCGCTTCGATCCACGTACATGCGTTAAGCAGTCAACCATGAAGCCAATTTAATATATGTAAATTAATTGTCTTGCTTTCTAGTTAAGAAATTCGTCTCGTCATGTGTCAAATATGAGTACACATTCGACTTCAAGTCTAAGAAACGTACAGAAAAATTTACTGTTTTCAGTACAATGAGTCCAAAGCAGCAAACGTTCTATCAGTTTCACGTTCGAGCTGACACAAATTTCGCCGGGTACGATGACGCACGTTTCACCGGGATTATTCTTTCAGGTCTGTGCAAAAATCGCCACCTGGTCACCAGAAGGAACTACCTGGTGGGGACCGTTGAATTTTCACAACTAATGTCCGATACATTATTATCTATACCTTGGCACGTAATGGCGACGGTTCGTGACAGACACGCTATGTCCAGATCACTGAAAATTTCGAATGCTTTGTAATTCTATTACTTCCCGCGGTACAGAATACTAGTCATTTCACTTCAATTGGATCACTTTTGTACATATTACTTAAAAAATAACATTAAATTGTCATTTTTAAATTATTAAAAAAAATAGTTTTTTCATTAGATGTCTGAAAGTGAACCAATATGATGTCTAGGATTTTGCTAAAATTGAAATGTGTTGTACTTTATGTGAAAATAGGGAGGTGCTTTCGAAATTGTTTAAAAAACACAGACCCTCAAAGTTGGTAATTTTCACCGATTTTTACGAAAACTATCGTAAAAGAATTTTTGTGAAAATGTATTGTCATAACATTTTAGACAGGGGGGGAGCAAAATGCAATTTTTTTCTTGTGGGTTGGGCAAAAGACACTTTTTTCCGTCCAGGGGGTGGCAAGTGCTCCCCACCCCTTGGCTACGCCAATGCGTATATGTACACGCGTGGGCGTGCGCGATCTGTACACGAGTGATTCCGTCTGGTCCCTTTGTGTTGCCAGCTGGGAGAAAGAAAAATAGAGAATTGAAAGAGAC